TGTCCTGGCAGTCCTCATCCTTCTGTAGTCTAGACCATCACTGAAATCAGATAATTAACTGTATAATTAGTTGTTAAAATTCACTCTGCTGGACTATGGGGATGAGGACCATGTCTTGTTAACCACTGGATTCACTGGATCCTAACATCTTGTAGGGTACAAGGCACAAAGTGGAAATTCATAATATTCATTGAATGTTAAAAGAATAAAACATTTTAAATCTGTGGAGGTTTTCTCCTTGAAAGCCAGACACCATCTCCACCATCTTCATCCACTATTTTGACCATAGTTGAGTTTAACCATACAGTTTTGACTGTGTTATTTGCCCTGTGCATTGTAAATGATGTGGCATGTTAGCAGACAAGGTTATGAAAAGTTTATGGAACAATCAGATTAATAATGTGATGAACAATAAAATCCTAGAATCAATTATGAGAATTGCACATGATTTTACCATACATGAGCCAAGAAATGACTACAAATCATTTTTTAATCCAAATCATAATGAATACTATCAGTAGAAAAATACCTATACAAATTAAACTTAACAACTAAATCTATACCCACCAAAGTTGAGACTTAGAGACTTAGGAAATATGAAGAACAGAGCTGAATTCAAAGAAGAAAACTCAAAGCTATGGATAATAAAATGATATAAACAAAATACCTTTAGATGAACCAGGTATTTGTGGTAAAATACACTCACAAAAATATTACGGTGGCAAACTAGTCCCGGTTTTCTCAGGACATTCCTGTATTTAGCGCTGGAAGTCCCACATTCTGGGAAATCCCCCGGTCCAAGACATACTAGGATGGTTGGTCATCCCAAAAATAATTGACCGTCTTGAAACTAATGTTGGCTCTACTACTATAGCTATATCACCTTGGGCCCTTTTATAAATTGAGGCTAGGGGCATCTGGGTGGCTCAGTTAAGCATCATACTCTTGATTTTGGCTCAGGTCATGATCTCAGGGTCATGAGTTCCAGCCCTGTGTCAGGCTACATACTGGGCATGGAGCCTGCTTACGATTCTCTCTCTTCCTTTCCCTCTCCCTCTGCCCTTCTACCCCCCGCCCCACCTCAAAAAAAATTATAATAGTACCTATTTCATAAGTTCTTATAAGGATAAACTGAAATATTTCACAGAAAACATACATAGCAAATGCTCAGAACATTTTATTATTATTATTTATTCAAAGGCAAAGCTAGTGACAGAAGTAGAACTTTAGAATGAGAACTTTCTCTCCCCAAGGATTTTATTTATTCTCCTTCTACACTATGCATATTTATGCACATCGAACTTAATAGCCAAAAACTTGTAAGGATGTTGTTTTTTTTCTGAGGTACCCTGTGGTGCCCTGTGGTTAGAAGCAATACATGGCTACTGGATCAGTTTTTTCACATGGCCAGATAAACCTGACCTCTAGGCCATGAAAGGAACAAAGTTATAAAGCAAGCCCTGATTGCCTTCAGGCCTCCATAATGCTAAAGATGGTAGGTGTAGTATCAGTATTCAAAAACACTGGGCAAGGTTAAATTCAGACCTGAGTACAGGACTAGCACACAGCGTGGCTCAGTCCAGGCTCTTGATAACTGGCCACCATTTTGGGTGGGAAGTAATCACAGCTGGCCTGCCTCAGGCAGATTCCAACTAGGATGAACAAGAGACACTGGTTTGGGAAAGAAACTCTTGTTAAAACAAATAAGCAGCCAATCAAAGTGTCAAGAACTCTCAGATACTGTTGTGTCTTCATTCAGGCTTGAATCATAAAGCTGCCTTTCTATCTGGTGTCATGACTTAATTAATCCCTTTCATTTGGTCTACCATCCTTTCTTTTGGTTCTTGAAACACAGAATGGATTCTAGGCCCAAACTCATTTTGGAACTAGGGAAGAAGTTGTAGGGCTGGGAGAGGGTGGAACATATGGAAACAGATGTCAAAGGGATCTTTATCCCCTATGTGGTCTTTGACAACGTTGCACGCTCTCATCCCACCCATTCCAGCTTCTTCCTGCCTCCATCTGCTCTAATCAAGCTGCCTTTGTTCTGTCAGTGCAGACATTGGGCCAATACCACTGAGAAATCTCCCATCTTTCACCAATAGACCTTAAAGCATTCTATGCACACCCATCACTAACCTGTAGGCAGTCTGCAGGGCAAGGGCTTTAGCACCAGTTCTGAGCCTGGGCAGGTACAGGAACCTGAGTTAAATAGCAAAAGTTCAGAGGGGCAATCAGGATGGCCTCTCAAGACAACTACACAAATAAGCCTTCACAACAAAAGCTGGTTGACCTGACTTAACCAAGAAAGCCTGTATCAACCTCCCAAGAAACCTACCAGGACATCCGAAATATATGTCTTTGGAAGCATGCACCATCTCTGTGTCCCCTTTCCTGCTAGCAATCTCTCCTCTGGCTCCAGTGAGAGAGCTTAGCTGAACTTCAGTTGTGAATAAGGAGGAGAAACATTTGTAAATTGTAAATTGACCTTGCACCTAAGTCTGGGGTATCATTAAGGAAATCAGGATGCGCAGACTGAAAAAGAAAGGAGATATTTTAAAACTGTCCAATGAGAAAGTGGGAGGCAGTGCATCTTCTGTGGTTTGTTCAAAAGAATGGGGACCCATCCGCAGAGGCTTTCTCTGTGTGGGCTGGTGAATCTGGCGGATGGCACGGGTGTGTGGGTGGTGAAAACACTTGACACAAAATGGTGGCTGGCAGCAGCGTAAGATGACACAACCCTTTTTGGAAATCAGTTTGCCGGGTTTAAAGAAAAATGTAAATGGTTGGACAAGAGATATGTGAATATTCTAAAAATTGTGAAGGTACCCACGAAGGGCAGAAATGTCTTTAGAAATGGTCCATTCCCTCCATCCTCATAATGGGATTGGAGACTTTCTTTCCTCTCTCCCTCCCTCTCCAGGGTTGTGAACCTTAGGCCTCTGATAGGGTCCCAGGAAGTCCTGTAAATATCCCCTACCATGTCCTGATGGAATGAAAGTTCCATACAAACTATTGTTATTAGGTGTGTTCTCTCTGTAGCTTTTCAAAATAAAGTAAAATAACACAGGCTTAACTTTGAAACAAACCCAGCCCTCCTCTTCACTCTCAATCTGACTTGTGTGTCTGCATTTAATTAATTGGGCTTGTTGCTGATAGATCATCTGATTTGCACAAACAATTAAGTGCAATTACTTGGGTACACCCATAATGGCTCCTAATCTATTATGCTTGGCAAACTTAGCCAAACAGAACTAGAGATGCTGTTTCCAAATCTGGTTCTTCCATGTCTGCTACACTCACTCTTGGTAATAAAAGTGCAAAGCAGGCCTGATTTACATGTTCAGCCTTTACTAGCATTCAGATATTTCATCATATCCTCCAGTGCTGTATGCCCTTGGTTAGAGAAACCCTAAAACTGCCTTCCATTCAATTCCAATTCAATTCATTTCAGCATCTATACAGGGCACCTTTGAAGATCATGCTTTGTTTCAAAGCCCCTTCCTCCACATTCACTGTGTGCTGAGCACTCTGCGAGATGTATCAAACTCATCTTCTTGCCGTAGCTTGATCACTTCTGCATATTTATTACACAGGAAATAATCTTCTGCTCTATGGTCTTTTGAAATGAATATATAGACACTTCTGAAATCAAATCTCTTGTTTAATTTTACATACTCTGCTCACCTTTCCAATGAATTCCTTGCCATTTTGTTGGAGTTTGAGAGAGGCATAAAGAATAAAAGAGTCTGGCTCCCCAGAGATAATGCCTATCTGACCTGTGCCAGGGAAACTGGTCTTGCCCACATGTGCAGTGACTAGATTAGGGTTCAGGGTGCAACAGTGAACTTGGGAGAGGGAGTTGGGAATCTAGATCTCTGGGCCATTGTCCAGAACATTGGGAGAGGAGGAGTAATTTGTAGAGTTCCTTTTGCAATGTTGCAGCAGATGTCAGCATCAAAGATCTACATTTGTAGGAAGCAGATAAAAAGGACCAAAGGGGAGGTGGTTGCCCTCAGGGAAAAAGGGAACTTCCATGTCTCCATCATCTTAGGGGAGGGAGTCTTGGAACAAGAGATAAAAGCCTTCATTTTAAGAAGAATTAATGGAGTTCAGACTCAGACATATGGAGGCAGCTGCGGATGACCCTATCTACTGGGGATCACTGCATCCAGCCTGTTAGGGTGGTGGCCCTTCCTCCTCTTCCTCCTCCCCTGGGGGACCTGTCCACATTTAGTACAAAGCACCTGTGCTCCAGTTGACCTACCTCATCCAGTAACTGTGGGACTCTAAGCAAGTCACTTATCTTCTGCTGGGTCTCAGCTGCATCATCCATAAAATGGGTAACTCTGCTACATGTACTTTCCAAAGCCCTTGATATCTCCACATCTCCCAGTTGTGGTCACATTGCCCCATTTTATTTTTCATTTGAATTTTTTAAAAGATTTATTTATTTGTTTGTTTGTTTGTTTGTTTGAAAGAAAGAGAGATGGGGGATAGGGAAGAGGGAGAGAATCTCCAGCAGACTCCCCACTGAACACAGAGCCTGACATGAGGCTCGATCCCAGGACCCTGAGATCATGACTTGAGCTGAAACCAAGAGTCAGATGCCTAACTTACTGAGCCACCCAGCTACCCTATTTTTTATTAGAATTTATTCAACTTCAATATTTTTATGTTTTTAAGTTATTACAAATTTTATAATTTCACAAATAATACCTACATGTGTTTTCCATATTTAAAAAAATGCAGATAAGGCTAAAGTCTCCTTTGATCACTTTTTTTTTCTTTAAAGATTTTATTTCTTTATTCATGAGAGACACAGAGAGAGAGAGAGACAGAGAAACAGGCAGAGGGAGAAGCAGGATCCCTGCAGGGAGCCCCATGTGGGACTTGATCCTGGGACCCCAGGATCACGCCCTGGGCCAAAGGCAGGTGCTAAACCACTGAGTCACCCAGGGATCCCCTCCTTTGATCACTGTTATTAATTTGTGGGTGTCTTTTCAGTCCTTTTGCACATGTTAAATATAAACAAGTTTATTATTTAAGGTATCATTGGTATCAAATGGCACATATTCTGCAAGATGTTTTATGTTTCTTCATCATGTCCTGGAGAGCTTTCCCAGGCAGTAACTTTGTTTATCTCATTCTCTTCAAAAACTGCTGAGAATTTTACAGCATGATTATACCATGGCTTTTTGATTCTTGCAAGTGGGCATTTAGATTGTTTTCCACTGATTTGGATGGTGTCACGAAGAAGACACCTGTTAGTATGTCAAGATGGGGAAACTCTATCCCCTCCACAAGACTGTGAGTTTATTTCCAGAAATTGTGTTTCAATGACATTTATTTCCCTGACAGGCACTTTATCTGGAGACTGGCACTTGGGCTGAACTCAGTGTTCATTGACTATATATAACAAAATTAGTTTAGGTCCTTGGGAAGACCAGATGGTCCTGCCCTTAGGAAGCATGCAGTTTAAGACCGAAAAAAGTAATATTGTGTCAAACATCTTTGAATCCTTAGAATAAACAAAGGAGATAAAGACATCAAATGATTCATTTGCTCATAGAACAGATCCTTATTAAGTTAAGGCAGGTATAGGCAGTGGGATCTGGAGATAAGTAAGGGGAAGGCCCTGTGCTTACGGTTTGATGACGAGAACCATAAGGAGGCAAAGTATGTAGACAGATATCTTCAAGAAAGGACAGAGCAATGTGGGAAGTTCCCTCAGAGAAATAGAAGCAAACTTGCAAAGAGCCTTTAAGTCAAGTTAGAAGCTGGTGGCGAGAACAATGAATGAAGATATGGAGGGCTGGAAGAGAGATTCCAGAAAAGAAGAAAATGATTCCAGTAAGCATTTCTCCAATTTGGCCATGCACAAGTGGGGTTTATTCCACTGCTTATTCTGACTCCATGAGGCTGGGGGCCTAGAGTCTGTATTTCTATGAGCTCCCAGGTGAGGATATGCCGCTGGTCACGTTGGAAAGTCCCAGGCATATTTGGAGGCCTTAGGCTACAAGAAAAAAATGGTAGGAATTCAGCATTAAAACTATGATCAAATTCCAGAGGGTCTTAAACATCAGCATGACCTGATAACATTGCTTGTTTTGAGCATTTCCTTACAGTTTAGCACAGAGGTGTGACTTGTTTACAATGACAACAACCAGGAATGTTTCCCTAGCTATTATTATGCCCAGGCACTTTCCTCAGTGCTAGCAATACAGCTGTGACCCAGACAGAACAAAATCCTTGCTCTTGTAGAGATGACATTCCAGCGAGGCGGGAAAGCAAAGAACAATGAAAATAATAAATAAGTGAATGATACAGGATTAGGTGGTGATCAATGTCATGGAAGAATAGGGTGAGGAAAAGGGGATGAATTTCATTTGATATCAGATTGATCAAGGAAGGCCTCAGGGATTGGCATAAAGATATGAGTGAGATAAAAGGGTTAACTATATGGATGGGGTGAAGAGCATTGAAGGCAGAGGGAACAGCCAGTGCAAAAGCCCTGAAATTTTATAGATAAGTTAAAGCACAAAGAGGTTAGGTAATTTACCCAAGACTTCCCACCTAAGATGAAAAACCAGGTCTAACTCAGGTTCATGATCTTAGCCACTGTTCTGCTGCCTTTCTTAGTCTAGCAACATATGGTTTGTGGTGTTACTGATGAGCCCCTGGCAATTAAAAAGGCTGTCACTCTTTTGTCAGTCACTGATCACTTCATCACTGAACAATAAGTGAGTCCCCCTGCCTACACTGCATGGGTTAGGGGATTGAGGGGGAGGCATGCATAGCCAGGATGGGTGTAAAAGGACCCTGCCTCACCTGGACCAGCTCTCACCCTTCACTAAACTAGAAAATTCTCCTTCTTGGTTCTTACCTGGGCTTCCTCACCATCTATCTATGTAACCATGGGTAAGTTAATTAACCACTCTGAACCTCAGTTTCCTTATCTACAAATAGAGATACTTCACAGATCTGCCAGAAAGGTTAGATAAGAAAATGTATATAATAATAATAGCTACTATTTATTGGCCAGTTGCCATGTTCCAGGCACTGCACGAAGCACAAAATGTATATTCTCTCAGTTCTTAGAACAACCATGTGACTAAGTACTGTTAGTAATATCCCATTTTGATAACAATGGAACTGAGGCTCAGAGAAAAGTGATTTGTCCAAGGTCAGCAGTTAAGAAGTAATGAACCTTAGAGGGGAACCCAGGAAGATCTACCTCTATGGCCCATGTTCTTAACCATTCATGCCGCCTCACTGGCTCCGTGCTCTGCTGTTATGATCATACAGCTAAGAAATGCATGAAACTTCAACCTTCTTGCAGAATAATCCTCACTAGTTCTAGAAATATATTTCTAAGTCTTCTCCTAGCCAATTTATACCTGAGGATTTAAGCGTAAAGAATGTGGTAAAGAGGGCAGCCTCGGTGGCTCAGCGGTTTAGCACCGCCTTCAGCCCAGGGCATGATCCTGGAGACCCCGGATCAAGTCTCACGTTGGGCTCCCTGCATGGAGCCTGCTTCTCCCTCTGCCTGTGTCTCTGCCTCTCCCTCTCTCTGTGTCTCTCATGAATAAATAAATAAAATCTTTAAAATAAATAAATTTTAAAAAAGAATGTGGTAAAGAGAGAGAACATATCTTCTAGTGGGGGAAAACAGCTAATAAACATTCTAACTAAATAAACAAATAAATTAAGATAAGCCTGGAGCATCTTAACATGCCAGAAAGTAAGAAAAGTTCAAAGATTGATGGGGGCACATCAAAAGAACCTAGACATGAGCTTTTTTAAATGAGCCCCCACTGGCCTGATCTGGGTCAATTATAATATCAAAATGAATAATAATAATGGATTACAATACATTGAATGAAATCCGTGAGTTCATAATGATTTAAACAAACACATATACGTAAATATGAAAACAGAAAAGGAAGCTTTTCCTTGCAGCAGAATACAACTAATAGGGGGTGCCTGGTGGCTCACTCAGTTGAGCATCTGCTTGGCTCAGGTCATGATCCTGGACAAGACAAGAAGACAGTCTTGTGCCCATCTAGGGACAGGGGAAGTGTTTCAGGCAGAAGCAGCAGCAAGTGCAAATACACCAGAACAGGAACACACTTGGTTTTAGACAAAAAGGCCAGTGTGGCTGGAAGAGAGTGAATAAGAGGAAGGGCGTTAAAGGATAAAGTTGTTCAGCTGAGCCAAATGACGTTCTGTGACTTGAGGCTAATCATCAAAGGGGATACAGCTTCTCCTGGTTCCCTTAATACCGCTTCCTGGAAACCCAACATCATGCTATAAGAAAGCCCCCAAGAGCAGCCCATGGGAAGATCTACAGGAAGAAGGACAGAGCCTTAGCCTACAGCTGTGCCAGCTCCCAGTTGATACTGGCATCCAAGTGGCTTGGAAGTAGATGGCTCAGCCTCAGTGCAGCACCCCAGCTAACCCTGCGTGGAGCAAAAACTACCTCTAACTGTAGGACTCATGAGCAAAAATTGATTGCAGTTGTTTGAAGCTACAACTTATTGAGGTGCCTTGGATGCACAAGAGGAGATAAATGATACAGACAGATGTGTGCAGAGGTCACCCTGCTAGGAAGCGGTGGAGAGAAGATGTCAACCCAGTCCCATAGTTTCCAGCTGCACTGAAAGTCAACTACCCCATCCTGACCACGTCCCAACAGGGCAATGCTGGGCAAACCTCCATGCACGGGAGAGCATCTAGCACAAGCTAGGACAACTAGAAAGTACAAATGCTACTATTAAAGCTCCTTCAGGCTCTGCTGTGATGTGTAAACACACCTTCCTTTATCCATCTTGAAAGTTAAACTTACTGCAGATTTGGGGGCTCTTCAGTCAATCTCAGGCTTTATAAGAATCGTTTGAAAAAAAAATAAGAATCGTTTGAGGAGCTTGTGAAACTGCAAATCCAGATCCTCCCTAATTTTCCCATCCCCAGATTTTGGGGTCAAATCTGAAGGCTGCAGTTATAAAAAATTTTTCAACTTCATTGAGATGTAACTGAAGTACACGAAATAGCACATATTCAAAATGTACAGTTTGATCAGTTTTGACATATGTGTACACCCGTGAATCTATCCCCATTATCAGAATTACAAGCATTTCCTAGGCCATCAAAGATCACTTTGTGCCCATTGTAATCCAGCCTTCCTTCCATGCTCTCACTAGGCAACCACTGATGGGTTTTCTGTCACTGTAGATTAGTTTGCGTTTTTCAAAAAAAAGAAAAGAAAAAGGCTACTTTATTTTGAATCATACAGCATGTACTCTTTCTTGTCTGGCTTCTTTCACTCACTATAATTTTAAGATTCATCCATATGGTTCATGTATCAATAGTTCATTTCATTCTGTTGCTGATTAATAATACTCAATTGTATAAATATGCCACAGAATGTCATCAGCTGGTGGACATTTGGGTTGTTTCCAATTTGAGGCTATTACAAATAAAACTGCTGTGAACTTGGGTATGCTTCGCTGTTGAATGAGTGTGATGTTTAATCACAAGTCATGTTTCATCTTTTGAAAAATTGCAAAACCATTTTTGCTAAGTGGTACCATCTTACACCCCCAACAGCAGAGTATGAGAGTTCTGGCTGGCTCACAATTCCACCAACACTCAGTAGGGTCAGTTTTAAACATTTTAGCCAGTGGTGTGCTACAGCCAGCTTGTACCAGCTTGTGGGAATCAATGTATGCATCAATTCCCAACTCTGGGTTAGTGACATCTTCTCGTTGGTAGCTTAAAATTGACCATGGTGGGGGTACTTACGTCATAAAAATCAGCAAGCACTCCTAATCAGACCTCCTGCACTCCAGCCCTAGCCAGAGCTAGTTGTTAAACATTTACCAGCACACCACTGATTTTAGCCATTCTAGTGGGGATCCAGTGGTATCTCACTGTAATTTCACTTTCACGTCCCTGATGATTTCTATCTCATATCTTCTTTTGAGAACAATCTGTTCAAATCTTTTGCCCATTTTCTCATTGAGTTGTCTTCTTACCATTGAGCTGTCAGAGTTCTTTTTATTCTGAATTCATATCCCTTTTCTGACACGTATGTTGAAACGTTTCCTCTCACTCCCTCTGTGACTTGCCTTTGTACTTTCTTCATCACATCCTTCAAGGAACAAAAGGTTCTTATTTTAATCAAAGTTTAACTTTTTTTTTTATGGTTTGTACTTGCTGGATTCTAACTAAGGAAACTTTGCCTACCTCATGGTGTCCTTCAGAAGTTCTATAATTTCAAGTTTTACATTTGTTCTGTAATGTATTTTGAATAATTTTTTAATGTATGGTGTGGGTTAAGTGTCAGTGCTCACTTTTCCCACACGTGGACATCTAGCACCATTTGTTGAAAATATTTTTCTTCCCTTACAAAATTGCCTTGGCATCCGTGTCAAAACAATTGACCAAAGACATGTGGGTCTATTTATGGACTCTCTAATCTGTTCCATTGATCTATATGCTTGTATTTTGATTAATACCAAAACTATCTTGATTTCTGTCACTTTATAAGAAGCCTTGAAAGCAAATAGGATAAATTATCCAACTTTTCTTGAAAAATTGTTTCTGCTATTCTACACCCTTTGTGTTTCCTTTTTTTAAAATTTTTTATTTTTTTATTTTATTTTTATTTTTTTATTGGAGTTCAATTTGCCAACATATAGCATAACATCCAGTGCTCATCCCATCAAGTGCCCCCCTCAGTGCCCCTCACCCAGTCACCCCCACCCCCCGCCCACCTCCCTTTCCACCACCCCTTGTTCGTTTCCCAGAGTTAGGAGTTTCTCATGTTCTGTCTCCCTTTCTGATATTTCCCAGTCATTTCACCCTTTGTGTTTCCACATAAATGTTAGAATCCATTTGTCAATTTTCAATAAAAAAACTTTGCAAATTTTTATTGGGATTGCATAGTCCACTTTAGGGAAAAGTGCTGTCTTCATAATATTGAGTCTTACAGACCGTAAACATGACATTTTTCCATTTATTTAAGATTTTCTTAATTTTTCCCAGCAATACTTTGTAGTTTTCAGTGCAGAAGTCCTAAATGTCTTATGTTAGATTTCTTCAGTATTTTTTGTTGCTACTTATACACAGGATTGCATCCTTAATTTCATTAATGTTTGAGGCTAGTATATGAACCTCAAATTATATACAATTAACTTTTGAATATTAATCTTATATGATGCAACACTGCCAAATTCACTTATTAATTCTCATAGTTGTATTTTAGCCTCCCTTGGATTTTTCTCTATAAATTATAGCACCTACAAGCAGGGATAGTTATTTTTTTCCCTCCTGAGTTTTATTCCTTTTAATTTCTTTTTCTTGCCTTATTGCAATGGCTAGAGCTGCTAGAATAATGTTGAATATAAGTGATAAAGGCAGATATCTCTGCCTTGCTCCAGAGCTCAAGGAAACAAAAAACTCAATCTGTCATCATTAAGTATTATGTTAGCTGTAGATTTTTTTTTTTTTGTAGATGGTTTTTAGCAGTTTGAGGAAGTTCCCTACTATTTCTAGTTTACTATGAGGTTTTATCTGGAATGGGTGAGGTTTTTTCCAAATGCTTTACCTGAATCTACTGAAATAATTTTATGGTTTTTCTCTTTTATTTCATTACTTTGCAGAATTACATTTAAAGATTGATTTTCAAATATAATTCATTTTGGGGACTCTACTTGGTCATGATATATTATCATTTTTATATGTTATTGGATTTAATTTGCTGTGATTATGTTAGAGATATTGGCATCTGTATTTATGAGGAATATTGAGTTGTAATTTTCTTTCTTTTTTTAATAATGTCTTTGTCAGGTTTTAGTGTTAAGGATACACTGGACTCACAAAACAGTCAAGCAATGATCCTTCTTTAGACTTTAAAAATATTTGTGTAATATTGGTGCTATTTCTTCTTTAAATGTCCAATAGACTTCAACAGTGAAACCATTTGGACCTGATGTCTTTTTAGAAAAAATTTTAATAACAAATTCAAAGTCTTAAATAGACGTGGATATCTAGATTTTCTATTTCTTGTGTTAATTTTTGTTAGTTTTTTTTATTTCTTTTTTTTTAAGATTTTATTTATTTGACAGAGAGAAAGAGAAAGAGAGCACAAGCAGGGGAGAGCAGGAGAGGCAGAAGCAGCCTCCTCACTGAGCAGGGAGCAGGACACAGGGCTCAGTTCCAGGACCCTAGGATCATGACCTGAACTGAAGGCACCAGGTGCCCCAGTTTTATTTTTCAAAACATTTATCTATTTAATCAAATTGATCAAATTTATTAGCATAAAGCTGTTCATAGTATTTTCTTATTATCCTTTTAATGCCTATGGGACCTATGATGATAATCCCTTTTTCATTTCTAATATTGATAATTGACATACTTTTTCTTCTCTGGATTAGTATAGTTGGAGATTTGTCAGATGTGTTGACTATTTTTAGAGAACAAAACTTAGACTTTGCTAATTTTTTGTATCATCTCTCCGACTTGTATTTCATCATATTCTGCTTTTATTATATTTCTTTCTTTAGATTTACTTTTAGTTTACTCTTTTCTTTATTCCTATTTTCTTAAGATAGAAGCTTAGGTCATTGACTTTAGATATTTGTTTCTAATATAAGCATGTGAAGCTGTAACTTTTCCTCTAAGTACTGCTTTAGCTGCGTTGCACAAAATCTAATATATCATATTTTTGTTGTATTTCAGTTAAAAATATTTTCTAGGGATCCCTGGGTGGCTCGGCGGTTTAGCACCTGCCTTCGGCCCAGGGCGTGATCCTGGAGTCCTGGGATCCAGTCCCACATCAGGCTCCCTGCATGGAGCCTGCTTCTCCTTCTGCCTATGTCTCTGCCTCTCTGTCTCTCTGTGTCTCTCATGAATAAATAAATAAAATATTTAAAAATAAAATAAAGTAAAAAAATAAAAATATTTTCTAATTTGCCTCGTGAGTCTGCCTTCAGTCCGTGAATTACTTAGCAATATGTTGTTTAATTTCCAGATATTTGGAGTTTTCCCAGAAATTATATTATTATTGGTTTCTCATTTAAAATTCCATTGTGGTCAGAAAGCACTTTTTATGGTTTTGAAGCCTTTAAATTTATTGAGACTTGTTTTATGGCCCAAGATGTGGTCTATCTTGACAAATGTACCATGAGTACTCAACTAGTTGGATGATGACTTAATCTCTCTGATCTTAGTTTCCTCATCTCTAAACGGGGAACAACAGCAATAGTACTTACCTTAAATGGATTGTTACGAATATTAAAATAGGCAAAGTGAAAAATACTAAGCATAGTAGCAAGCACATAGTGCACATTCAATAAATGCTAAATCATTGTTATCATTACTGTTCTTATTAAAAGGTCAAAACTTGGGATCCCTGGGTGGCGCAGTGGTTTGGCGCCTGCCTTTGGCCCAGGGCACGATTCTGGAGACCCCGGATCGAATCCCACGTCTGGCTCCCGGTGCATGAAGCCTGCTTCTCCCTCTGCCTGTGTCTCTGCCTCTCTCTCTCTCTCTCTCTCTCTCTCTCTCTCTCTTTCTCTCTCTCTCTCTGTGTGACTATCATAAAATAAATAAAAATTAAAAAAAAAAAAGAATTTCTTCAAAAAAAAAAAAAAGTCAAAACTCTACTGAAGGTTGGTTTGGTTTTATTGCCAGGGTATCCTTAGGGTTCCCCAGTAAAATAGCTTCTCTGGCCCCAGTGTGCTCCCACTGCATTTGAACAAATCAAAAATCCCTCCCCGTGGTCCTTGAGGCCCTATGTGTCCAGGACCCTACCTACCATTTCACTGCCTGCCTCTCTCTTCTCCCTCATGCTCACACTCCCCAGCCACACTGATCTGCTACCCAGCCCTAAACACCAGAGCTGGAAACGATCCCACCCCAGGCCTCCGCATGTGCTGTTCCCTTCACATGTGCTGCCTAGAGCCTATTGTTCTCACAGTCTCACCTGGCTAATGCCTGCTCCTCCTTCCTATCTGTCTTATTCAACTCAGGCTGCTATAACATAACACTAAGTACATATACTGTAGACTAGGTGACTCCTGAACAACAGAGATTTATTTCTTACAGTTCTGAAGGCCAGAAGGCTAAGATCAAGAGGCTGGCAGTTTCAATGTTTGGCCCATTCTTAATTCATAGATGGCCATCTTAACATTCTTTCCTCGCAAGGCAGAAGGGACAAGGTAGCTCCCTGGGGTCTCTTTTATAAGGGTATTAATCCCTAGTCACCATCCAGAGGCCACTTCCAAATGCCAGCATATAAGGCATTAGATTTCAGCACATGATTTTTGAGGGAAAATAAACACTCAATCTGTGACAACATCCTAGCTTATACGTAGCCCTCTCTGACTGCACAATCTATATTCGGTCTACTTATTATTCTCTTATAACACCACGGTTTTTTCTTCAAGGCATTTAGCAGAGTATATATATATATATATATATATATATATATATATATATATATACACGAGCTGCCCCTCTAGCCAGTAAGCTCCAAGAGAACAGGACCTCAGCTGTCTGCTCATCCAAGGTCTAGCACTGTGCCTGAAAAGGACAGTAGTCATGTTCCATAAACATCTGTTGAATGAATGATAGCTCTAAATGCCAGAAATGTGACCCAGGACAAATCACTTTATTTGTTTATTGTCTTCATCTGGAGAATGGGTGCCATCATTCCTCCCTCAAAGTATTACTGAGAAAAAGAGTTTTGTATATGCTCAGTACAAGCTTTAAAAGACATTGAGAGACACACTCAAATAAGTAAAGCACCATATGTTAGACAAATGCCCATTGTCACTGGATTATAAGAGTGAAAAACTGGTAGCAATCAGAAAGATCATCCACAGAGAGCTGATGAATAAATCACAGCGCTTTCACACACCAGAGCACTTCACAGCTGCTAGAACTGACCTAGCTCCCACCGTGGAAAGCTATGCTAAAGGGAAACGAAGTGGAAGAGTGACCTACAGCTTTCAAAAAATACATGTCTTCTAGAACAGGAGACTTGCAGCATTATTGGTTGATGCTGAGATTGGAAATGGGGAGAGATTCACTTTTTCACTTCAAGCTGGTTTGAAATTTTTACCATGGGCACTCACCCTTTATAAATAATGAATTCATTACTGTGGACACCCTGGTGGTGAACAGTGGGTGAACAGGAGCAGAGCAGAGCTCCTCCTCTCTGTCTGGGTGCTCCGTGCTGAGTCTGCTTCCAGTTCGTTTGGACAGCACCCCTCTGGCCCCAGAGCTGAGTGCCAGCATGTCACTCAATACACATACACCCGCCCTCAGTTCCAGTCCTGTCCCCATGCCTTCCCTAGACCACTGCTTCGCAGCCTGCCTGCTTTGAGAAAACAAAACAAACAAACAAACAAACGCAGTCCTTTCGGGGCAATGAGGGTAGCAGAGGCTGGCGGCTGGCAGCTGGGAGCATGATTTCCTACCTCGAGCTCTCTGATGCCCTCTGGGAAGATTCTACAGACAGGCCGGCTGCAGCCGGTGCCATGGTGCCAGGCCCAAGGATCCAGCAATAAATCATTAGCAGATTGGCCCACAGATCACTTCCGTTTAGGGGGCATTGCCTGGCACTTCCCAGGAGGAAGAGATTTATCAGCACTTGGCCTGCTGCCTTGCTCTCACGCAATCACAGGCTTCCAGCAGGTGGGACAGAGTGCTTCCTCCTCCTCAGATGCAGGGCTGTGCCGGAGGAGGCCCAAGAGAACCAGAGAAAGGGCCATGGGCTCAGGAGACACAGTGAGAAAGCTTAGTCAGCAGAGTCCCCGGTCATATTCCACAGGGGCTCCAGAGGAAAGAGCAAGTCAGCCCTCTGGTCCTGACTGCGTGGACTCCGGACAGCCCCCAAGGCCCTTCCACGCCCTCCGCTCAGCAGAGAGCAGGCCTGCCCATCATTTCCCCCATAACCAAAGGTTGGCCCCACTTTGATCTCTATTCTCCCCTTGCAGTGCTCACACTGGGAAGGCGCCTTCGAGAAGCTATCCCAGGGCAATTTTCCACCTTTGAAGTCCCCGGAAAGCCCTGCCAAGAGCTGTTCTGGTGTGAGGAGGCTGCTGGGGCAGGCAGCCTGGTGCCGTTGCCTCACGGGGTGCCAGAACTGGAACATCAAGACATCAAAGAAGAAGATGGCAGCAGAGGGATGAGTAAGCTCACTTCCAGGCTTTGCCTCAGCCCAGAGGCCTTCTCTGGATCTCCCAGCCAGTGGTGGAGCTGGATAAGGGAGCTTAGCCCAAAGAGCCTGGAGATCTGCCTGGGAGGGAGCCTGAGATGCTTCCAGGGCATTGTCCTGCTCTCCACACCTGGGGAAGAGCACTGATCTAACTACAGAGCCAAAGCAGAGCGCAGTCCTCACTCCAAGACTCCCCAAGTTGCTCAGTCTTTGGCAACTCCCCTCCTCTCTCTGGCCCCCAGTTTCTCCATCCATCAGATGAGAAGGAGGGATTAGCCTTAGAATGGTCAGTTGGCAGTCCAGGGGACATAGACATGTTTTGTTTGGCCCATGAAGGTAAAAAAAAAAATTAATTATTGTACATTTTTCTGACTTTCAAAAATTAGGAAATTTGATTCTAATTTGTACATTTTGGGACTCCTTTGCAAAAAATGGAAAATGTGGCAACACAACCTGCTGTCCAATATGGCGGACATTGGCAGGAGACGAGTCATAGCTGCCACCCTGGCAAGAAACCTAAGTTCTAGACTGTTCCACTCAGCCTGCTGCTTCATCCCATGTGACTGTTGGAACTGAGGGCTCCTGGACTAGATAATTTTATTTTATTTAAGGGCTGCCACAGGAGCCCTTACCATGAGCCACAATGGCCTTAGGGAAACAAAAGTGAGGTAGGCAGACATGACATGCTTCTTTCTTAACACTCTTAACACGACTGTGTATAGAGGTTTCCCAAGTGTGTGACCCCAACTTCTGGTAACAGAATCACATGAGGATGCTGGTTAAAATGCAGAATTGCCTGGTTCCCGACCCAAATCTGCTAAATCAGACTGTCTGGGGTGGAATCCAGAAATCTGCATTTTTCACAAACTCCCCAGAGGATCTCTTAGCCACATGAAAGCTTCTGAAGCACTGGTGGGAAGGATACTCCATGGTGATTTGCAGCTGTGAGACCCCGAATCCAATGCACTCAGAGGGGCCTCCAGAAAGGGAGCAGCCCTCATCTTCCCACCACCACACCAAGACCTGGCCATCCATCACTCTCTTTCATCCACACAACAACCCCATAAGCTGGGTGCTATTATCACCCCCATTTAACAGGTAGAGAAGGAGGTCAAGAAATGTGTGTTAAATCACACAGCTAGGAGTGGTAGGGCTGGAATCCACCCTTGGACCTGACTCCCAAGTTACTGAATAAGAACACAGCTGCTAATATTTTCCCTGTGCAGCTGGGACCAAGAGGGGAATTTTGACAAAGAGCAAACCAGGGGAGGGGACCTATTTTTGCACTAACACATAGTAGGTAAATCTGTGTAATTATAAGGCAGCACAAAGTGGCGAGCCTAGAACACACTGTGTTCCAGAATCACCTCCACTAAGCACATGTGCTATAGCATGCCAGGGACTCACAGCTCTGGGCAGTACTATACGATGCCATGTGACATCACATTTTGGCAAAGTAATTTGTGATATCACTGTAGTAGCTGAGTGTTCATTCCTGGCCTATGGGTGGCTTTGAGCAGCTACTCTCCAGGGTCACAGAAGTTGAACCACGTGTCCAGAGGATCTGGAATCAGAAATTGAGATCCATCAGTTTGCTACCAAACTGAAAGGTTTTGCTATTCCTGCTGCTGCTTCTTCTGTCTTTGGTTGTCTTGTTGGCATTGGGTCATGGGTCTCTTTGCTAACAACTCCTTCCTCCTTCTGTCCAGGTCCATACCATGAGGACCACAAAAGTTGCTGACCCTTAAAAAAGCATCTTGATTCCAATAAGATAAACAACAAATAGACAAAGCTAGAGTCTTAAAAAGCCAAGCCGGAAACCAACCTATTGACCAGCTCATCATTTGGAGAGACAGTGGGTAGGGTGGGAGGTGAGCAGAGAACAGCCTTAAGGGCTCTTCTTCATAGCAAAAATCAACATGGATTATCTCATCCCAAAATGTGCAGGATGACCTGGTACAGTTGTGAAGTAACCCCAAGGCTGGAATTGAGTCAATTTTGTTTTTTTCAAGGCTGTGTCATCTCTAAGATCATTCTAGCTTAAACATTCTATGGATCTAGTGCCTGGCATACACTAGTGGAAGAAGGGGGGAGAGGAGGAAATAAATTAATCTGTGTATAAATTATCTTTCATAGAGACAAGAATGAGAGTGTTTTCTATCATTCCCCTTTCTACCTCCAGGGACATCACCTCTCTCCAGAAGTATGTACTCTGAATTGAATTGCCGATGATTTAATAAGCCTTGCCTCACGCTCCCGTTGAAATACCATGTTTTAGCCTGTGTTGTCACACACACACACACACACACACACACACACACATTAGACAATTAGAGGGAGGGCCTTAACATGAGTGCTTTTCAAAAGGACATGTAGACTATTAATTACAGTCAACTATATCTGTGGGCTTGGTGGCTGGATTTCCAGATAAGAGAATGATGGAGAAATGCCCACAGGTTCCTCGTGCCTGAAAGAAAGCTTTTGACGTAACCAGGAATGTCCCAGCATCCAGCTTCCTCTCCAGGGAAGTCGGTGTTCATGACTGATGTAATCTGCAAGATTCTTTGCTCATCAAAAGGAGCAAAGTTCAGAGGCCTTTCTCCTTGCTGCTAGATAGGAGAGACACAAGTCATAGTTAAATCATGGTGGTATAGGGCCAAGAAATAGCAGGAGTCCTGGTTCTCAAGGAAATGAGTATGGAGCATTTTGCAGAATGTTCTGGAGCAATCGGTCTCTCTCAGGAATACATGTCATTTTTGAGCAATTATTGGATAGACCTGGGGAGTTTCTTCACATGGATGTCAGTTGGAGCCCTACCAACCACTTGAAATGAAGTTAAAATTACCTTTACACGCCCTTATCCCAGATGAAAATCTGGTTCTACCCCAGATTTCTACTAACCCCCATGAATTGTGTCTGCTGCAAAATTCATATGTTGAAATCCTAATCCTCAGTGTCTCAGAATGTGACCTTATTTGGGAATAGGGATGAAGCAAAGTAATTAGGCCATACTGAAGCAGGGTGGATTCCTAATCCAATATGACCGGTGTTCTTATTAAAAGGGGGCAACTTGAGGCAGACGCACACATTTAAGGGAGGGTGCATGTGAAGATGAAGGCAGAGATCGGGGTGATGCTTCTATAAGCCAAGGAATGCCAGAAATTGTCAGCAAACCATTGGAAGCCAGGAGAAAGGCATGGAATAGGTTGTCCCTCTGGACCTCACATGAAACCCACCCTGCTGACACTTGGATCCCATACTTCCAACCTCCAGAGCTATGAGACACTACATTTTGTTGTTTAGGCCATGCAGTTTGTACTACTTTGTTATGGCACCTCCAGCAAACTACTCCATCCCACTCAACTCCTACTGAGGATTTGGAGCTCAGGGAGTTTTGCCTCCAGGAACCCTTGCCCTCAATACTCTCCTCCATCACCAGCTCAGATCTCAAAGTGTCCTGGGAGTTCAAATTCTTTCCTATGTTGAAGAGCAGCTTCCCACCTCCTCTGAGGACTTGGCACCCAATGCCACCCAGATGCTCAAGAAAGAAAGCTTCTTCTCAAGCTCTATTAAACATACTTCTCCAGACCAAGCTATTTTCTCCCTAGCTGGCACAAACTACTAAGAAAATTAAGTTTTTTCAATCTCATTAAAACAGGAAGGACACTGGACATATGGGTCTTCTATTGCTGTGTTGCAAATTGCCATAAATTTAGCAGCTTAAAACAGCACAGACATATATTTTGGCTGGGTCCTCTGAGTAGGGTTGAGGTGTCAGCTGGGCTGTGGTCTCATTTGCAGGCTTACTGGGGAAGAATTGGCCTCCAAACTTGGGTTGTTGGCAGAATATTTCCTCATGCTTGGAAGATGGAGGACCCCCACTTTTTGCTGGCAGTTGGCTATCACCTGGGGAGTGCCCTCAGTTTCTAGAAGCTGCCTAGAGTTCCAGGACACATAGGTTTCCCAACATGGCTGCCAGCAAGGAGCGTCTCTCGAATGAGTCTGCTAGCAAGATGGAATCTTACATAGTCTGATATAATCACAGGAGTGATGTCTCATCACCTTCGTCATACTCTACTGATTGAAGCTAGATCACGGGTCCTGTCCACACTCAAGGAGAGGTGATTCACAATGGTGTAGGGAAGAAAGGATCATGGGGAGCCACCTTAAGGTCTGTCTGCACATGACAATGTATGAGACACCACTGATTGTTCTCCAGCATCTGTCCCAGCTCCCACCTCCACGGGTGAGCCTGACGAGTCCAAAGATAACCCTTTGCTATCATCTGTTTGGGAGGGAGCATGTGACCCAACTCTGACTACTATGATATACAAAGTC